TAGCTCCGCAGCTGAATTGCGTGTTGCCGACGGCCCTTAGGGGCACAGCATAGCGTGGACGGCATAGTGCTCCGCGCAATTCAGCTGCGGAGCTACGGCCCACTCGTGCGAACAGCGCGCTCTAGTGTCCGTTCGGAATTTCCGGAAAGTTGCCGTTTTACGCCATCTCTTTCGCGGTTTCGGAGTCGCGCCTTTTAAGCTAGCTCCGTTGCCGCGTGGGAGCTGTGGTCACCAGTTCGCACCCCGTCATCGTCGCTTTTTTTCGGTTTTTCGCACCGCACCGCACCGCGCCGCACCGGATTGCACCGCACCGCACCACAGCTGAGCCCGCGCCATGCGCCCTGGAGCATGGGTGTGCACCGCATTGTCATGCGCGCTAGCTCCGACATCGAGTGGGAGCTGCGGTCGCCAGTTCGGTCGCCGGCGCGTCTTCTTGTGTTCACACTTAACTGCACTGCGCAATTTGACATGCGCCGACTGGTGCATTTTAACACGCAACCCACCACACAACTCGACGTGCAATTAAACGTGCAATTCAATGCGCAATTTAATGTGCACCGAACCACGCAATTTGATGCTTCCCGTCATTGTCCTTTTTTGTTTTTTCTTTTCGTTTTGGACCGTGTCGTCCCGGACTGCACTGCACGACATCTGGGCCCGCGCAATGCGTCCCGGAGCATCGGGGTGCACCGCTTTGTCGTGTGCGCCGCACCGCACCGCATTGCACCGCACTGCACCACACCGCGCGGCACTGCACCGCCAAACATCACGTGGGGCCGCGCAATGTCATAGGCATGCACCGCTTGTGGTGTGCGCTAGCTTTAACGCCGATTGGGAGCCGCGGTCGCAGGCTCGATCCCGGCGGCCGCTTGTTTTTTCTCTTTTTCATTCGGGACCGCGCACCGCACCGCACCGCGATTGAATGCGCAAATCGCATAACATTGGCCGCACCGCACTGCGCAATTTGACATGCGCCGACTCGCGCGTTTTAATGTGCAACCCACCACACAACTCGACATGCAATTAAACATACAATTCAATGCGCAATTTAACGTGCACCGAACCACGCAATTTGACGGCCGTCATCATCATTTTTTGTATTTTTCTTTTCGTTTTGGACCGCACACCAGACCGTGAACCGCACCGCATCGTCCCGGACTGCACTGCACAACATCTGGGCCCGCGCAATGTGTCCCGGAGCATCGGGGCGCACCGCTTTGTTGTGCACACCGCACTGCACCGCATTGCACCGCACCGCACCACGATTGAACACGCGAATCGCAAAACATTGGCCGCACTGCACTGCACAATTTGACATGCGCCGACTCGCGTGTTTTAATGCACAACCCACCACACAACTCGACATGCAATTAAACATGCAATTCAACGTGCAATTTAACGAGCACCGAACCATGCAATTTGACGCTTCCCATCGTCGTCGTTTTTTGTTTTTTTCTTTTCGTTTTGGACCGTGCACCGGACCGTGAACCACACCGCATCATCACGGACTGCACTGCATGACATCTGGGCCTGCGCAATGCGTCCCGGAGCATCGGGGTGCACCGCTTTGTCATGCGTGCTGCACTGCACCGCATTGCACCGCACCGCACCACACCGCGCGGCACTGCACCGCCCAGAATGACACCTGGGGCTGCGCAATGCCATCTGGAGCATTGGCATGCACCGCTTGTGGTGTGCGCTAGCTTCAACGCTGATAGGGAGCCGCTGTCGCAGGCTCGATCCCAGTGGCCGCTTGTTTTTCTTTTTTTCGTTCAGGACCGTGCACCGCACCGCACCGCACTGCACTGCACCGCACCACACCGTGATTGAATGCACAAATCGCAAAACATTGGCTGCACCGCACTGCACAATTTGACATGCACCGACTCACGCGTTTTAACACGCAACCCATCACACAGCTCGATGTGCAATTAAACGTGCAATTCAACGCGCAATTTAATGTGCACCGAACCACACAATTTGACGCGCACTGAAGTGTGCAGTGGTTGTCCGACGTTGTCCGCATAGGCTGTACGGCATTTTGTGAAGCTGTTTTGTTCACGGACGTTGGCTCGCTACAATATAATTGCACTGCATATATACGCATCCGGTTTACTTATTTTCATATACGGTACCGCGGCTGAGCGGTTGCTTTAAAGCTGGCGGTTGTAAACTAGTCGTGCCGCCAACATAAGCTGCGCAGTATTTCGTGAAGCTGGCCTCTTTACGTGCATCGGCTCGCTAACCGATTTTCGCCAGACGACAACATCTCGGCACATCAACGGTTGTTCATCGCCATCGATGGCTATTCATCGCCATCCTCGTCTGCACGTCCTACACGATACAAGGTCAGTCCACGTTGCAAATCTGTAGCATCGAATAGAAACAACGAATAGCAATGAGTAGAAACGATAGCAAATAGCAAGGAATAGAAACGCAACACGCACCGAAGTGTGATGCGCAACACAACCTGACCCGCGGGACGGTTTGCGCGGTCGTGTACCCATCCCGGCGCCCGCGCGTTTTCTGTATTTCGTTTTGCAGCGTGCACCCCACTGCACTTGCCATGTCTCTGCTCGTCATGCTTCGTCGTGCTGTGTCATTGTGCTACCTCCGTCATCATGTGGGAGCCGTGGTCGCTGGCTCGATCCCGGCGCCTGCTCCTTTTTTCCTATTTTTTCGTTCGGGAGCGCGCACCGCACCGTACTGCACCGCACCGCAGCTGGGGTCGTGCAACACGCTCCGAAGCATCGGCGCGCACCGCTTCGTTGTGCACACTAGCTCCAACACCGAGTGGGAGCCACGATCGCCGGCTCGACCCCGGCGCCTGCATGCTTTTTAATTGCTACCGCTCATTATTGCGCTCGCCAATGATCGGCCAAAAAATTATAATAGTAGTAGTTGTTGTTAGTTCTTTCTGAAAAGCTGTAACTCTTAGGTAAAAAATGATTCTTCCTTTATTTCTAACTCTAAAAAGGTAACCTCTTAGGTAAAAAATGATACTGCCGTACAGTCTCTATAGGGAAGAAGGCCAATGATGCCGTACAGTCTCTATAGGGAAGAAGGCCAATGATGCCGTACAGTCTCTATAGGGAAGAAGGCCCATGAACAAGGCCCTCAAGTCGTACGGCCTAAAGCGAAATCTATCCGTCACTGGCTCTACCTGCTAAGCGGAATCTGCAACAATTTCTTTTAAGTATATGACAGCATATTGATCTTTCGCCTTGTAGCGTGCTTGATGCTGTGTGGTAAAGCACTGTGTTCCGCGTCTGCGTCCATTTTGCCTGCCAAAACTGGTGAACCAACTTAATCAAATGCAAATTTACAATGTCATGAAAGCGAAAATGTAGGTAGTGCTGTTACGCACTTTTCGGCGGCGGCAAGATTTCGCACGGCATCATCGCACGACCGATCTGCGTCGGTGTGGTTAGCCAGTATTTAGCCCAGTACATAAATAGCAAATACTGTGTATTACATATGACTTCTTCTTTTCACAATTTGTAAGGTTAGTTTGGCTTCTTTTCCTTCGCCGTTATCGTTGTGATAGACTGATCCTTGAGTCAATACATTCATTAAATCCTTGGACTGCTAGTGAATATAAAGCTAGTAAATATTGTCATTGTCGGTACAATCGCTGACGTTCAGCATTGTGGTCATGCTCGCCATGACCACGACACACTATGACGACGGGTGATCGCCTTAAGTCCGCGTCAGTTCGCGTAACGGTGCGAATCTTAGCGCTAGGTGCGAATGAGCATGCTTTTGTAAGGCAAAGAGCTAACGCACAACGGCTATGAAAAAGCGGAAATCGGCCCTCCTGGCTAAAATTTTTAAATTTTATAATTTTCAGATTGTAAAGGTTCATTTGGAAATAAACTTGCGTCGTTTTGGTCGACTTAAGCAATTCAATCCGTGCGTATGTTGAAACGTGAAGCATATGCGCCTGCGTAGCAAGGCGATACGCATGCGATTCCATATTGCGATTCGTGCATGTGGGAGACAATGCGTAAAGCAATACGCGTCCAATCGCACATCAAACGCATACAGTCCGCAAGGCTATTCACATGCGAATACATGTTGCGTTCCATGCGTATGAAGGCTGATTGCATAAAGCTTAACGCGGCCTAACACACACCAAACACACACATGTCGCAACGCAATTCACATGCAAACAAATGTTGCATTTCAAGTGTATGAAGGCTCGTTGCGTCAAGTTTACTGCGGCCTAACACACCAAACACACCAGACACACACCAGACACACACCAGACACACACCAAACACACACCAAACACACACCAAACACACACCAAACACACACCAAACACACACCAAACACACGATTTACTTTGATTAATCGCATGACATAACAATTCACATGCGATGTTTTATGTGTTGGTCGCATACTCAGTTCGGTAACCTTCACGCATTCTCATAAGAGAATAACATGCTTGGCAGCACTCAGGGGGCCCTTCTGCAAACGAGATCGCATCAGGCGCAGCCTTACATCGCACAACGATTCATCATACCATCAACAGATGCCAGAAAGGCGGCGGGACATATGCCGCATGCGAATACGCACGCAATTAGAACCCCGCTGGCTGTGAGGCAGTTGTGGGGACATGCTTGGGAGGCTGAAAGGGCTTCCAGACGCATAAATCGCATCAGGCACCGTCTTACACCGTGCCAACGATGTATGACACCATCAACTATTTGCCGAAATGTGGCGGGGAACGCTGCATCCAACACACACACAATTAACACTGTGAGATGTGTCGGTGGCTGTGAGGCAAGTGGGGACATGCCTGGGAGGCTGAAAGGGCATAATCCGCATCAGGAGCCATCGTACGCTGCAACAACGATGCATCGCACCATCAACTAGTTGCCAGAAAGGCAGCGGGAACACGGCACGTAATTTGGGCGAAGGTGGCTTCTGCATGTGTTGTTTTCACGCTCACAACTGGTACGGTACGTGCATGTAAGCATGTGTTTTTTGGCTGAAAAGACGGTGCACATGTATCAAGCGCTGTCGCCCGTTCATGTTGGATAATTCATCGTCCGTGGTGGTGAGGTTGGAGTGACGGCTGGTGGTCTTATTTCGCCTGACCATAAATTCACAAAGTCTCTCCAGGCATCGTTGCGCCTGCCGGCAATATCTACAGCAATCGACTCATTCACCCAAATATCGGATTGGGCTGCCAAGATTTGCCGCAACAGCACGGCCTTCCCGTGGATTCGGTTCGTAAACGTTCCTATTTGCCGTACAAATCTAGAAGGACGAGGAGCGCGTTGTTAATTGTGGTACTGTACGGCAGTGGTGCACGACCGTGCTGCGACCGAGCACCTTTAATCTTAGATTAGTCCTTGCGCCCATGAAGCGTAGCCCCTCGCGGTTGCGCTGTGTTTGCGCCATGCGATTGCGAGATCGAGAGATTGATTGGGAAATTGAAGCAGGGTGAGCCTGATTAATCCGATGGATGGTGTAGGACGTGATAAAATCAACTCGCGAGCTGACCAGGAACTAAGTTGACGCGCCGTTGATCCGCTAAATTTGGTTGGATGCTGGTGGTGAGTTGCCAAACTCAAAGAGTACACTCTGAAGTCGGATGGGGTGAATGGCTTAGGGTGCCCCTCTAGCAGGGGAGAGCAGGGAATTGCCTCGGGAAGGAGGCCACTGGTGAAGCTTAACCACCCTGTAACAACATCAACTCCCCATAATCAATCCCCTCGCGTTGCTCGAAACCCTTGGCAACTAAACGCGCCTTAAAGCGCTCCACATTACCGTCTGCATCATGTTTCACCTTATACACCCACCGACAAGGCAGTAAACGTGTACCAGGCGGCGGCTTCTTAAGCTCCCAGGTATGGTTGGCCATCTAAGCGGCGATCTCCTCATCCATCGCACGCCGCCAGTCGTCTGCATGTGGACTCGCAATGGCTTCCGCAAAAGAATTCGGTTCAGGAATATCAGCAGAGAAAGCAGCGTTAACGTGACCAGTAACAGTGCGACCAGGTTCGTTTCGCCACCATTCGCCAGGGCGTTTCCGTTCTCTAACTGGGTACCTAGTTCCCGCCATTTCCACATCAGGCTGATTGATTCCTTGCCCGTTCGCACTGCTGGAAGGTCCAGCCCCAGCCGGCGCCCCCTCGCCACCCAAATGCGGCGATCCCTCGCCGACGGTGCTACCTGGTGTCCCTTCACCAGCCCTAGGCAGCGATCCCTCACCAGATAAACTAGTGCGAAACTCCTCCTCCTCGTCGGCATCGGACTCATAATCAGAATCCCCGGCATTACACCGCCGGCCGACGTTAGACTTGTCAAAGCAAACATTAGAAACTACGGCAATAATGCCGTCCTCGTATAGTACACGATACTGTCCACCGTTCCTGTATCCGACAAGTATTCCACGCCTGC